CTTATTTGCTGACACTGAAGTTTCTTGTGGGAATACATCACTTTTATAATTAAATTTTCATCTGGAAGGTTTTTCAGGTCAAAAATGGAATCTTTGGTCAGAATCATAGCAGGGAGGAACACACAGGAAGCCAGGCTCTCTGAGCACAGCCAAACCTCTTACATCCAGAGCGCTTGGCTTAATTATGGAGCCAGCAGCTCATCTGCCATATGGCTGCTCCTTACCTGGTCTTGACCATTTTTGGCCATACTTTTCCAGCACCATTTCCTGTTTCTCCTTCCAGCCCCTCCCAGGAGCAGGAGGTGCAAAGCCATGGACAGAAAGCAATTGCTCACTGTACAATTGTATTTTCCAGGAAGCATCCCCAAATGGGTGCTTGCCTCCCGCTGGAGGAGCACTAAGGAGCAGCCCCACTGCCAGAGCTGCTCTCACCCACGCAACAGGATCTGGGAGAGGATGTCTGGCCATATCTGCCTTCCCCTCCATGTGCAGGAACACACCATATCAACAGAAAATACCTCTGGTAAGGGCATAAATGCACCTCCCTCCCCGGGAGGGCGTTATCTGCAGCACTGGAAGGAAGCAGGAGAGCCCAGCTGCTGGCAAGCCTTCCTACCCTCGCAGCCTGATTCACCAGAACAGCCCGGCTGCTCTTTGCCACCACACTGACCACACACCAGAGCTGCAAGCCTGGTTTCACTGGCCAGTTTGGGACACTCCTGTGCCCACAGAGTGCTAGTGAATAGCTGGAAGGGGCTGGTGAGCCCCTCCACAAGCTCTTCTGCATTGCATACCTCAGCCAGGCTGCTGCAGCAGAGGATGTCACCGAGTTGTCACCCGCCCCACCACACAGCCTTGTCCTCTGTTCACCTTCAGGAGGGCAAGTCAGAAGTGGCTCAGCTCAGCCAGCACAGTCAAATGAGCCTGAAACACTGTTAGGAGGGATTAAAATCACATGTGAGTGTGTGTGTTTGTGTGGTTTCACAACACCTCCCTCTCCCCACTGCCAGCCACACCAGTTTCCTCAAAGAAAGGCAGAACAGTAGAGCACAGACCCAAAGTTATGCCGTGATGCATTAAAGCCTTGTTTTCCCACTGCTTAAAGAACTGACCCAGCCCCCTCAAATGTTCCCAGCATACTTGAATTGTGAGTCAGAGACCACAATGGAGATACTTGCCTGGCTTGACAAAGTTTAAGTATCTCCTGCCAAACAGCAATCACTGATTTTTTGCTCTGTCACTCATGAGTCCTGTTCCTGCTGCTCTAACCTCACAAAACACACTGCCTCATTGTGGAAGCCAGGATTACTGTTTGGATGCTTACCTGTAGCATCTCCAACTTTTCATAATCCCCTTAATGAGGAGTGCTGCTAACAAACCAGATGGAAATTTGCAGGTATTGAAAGCTCATGACTCTGTACCCACTGTGGAAGCAATAGAGGATGGAAAGAATAGCAATACTGAAAAGCAAGGCTAGGAAACACTTCATCTTTGCAGGCACAGTCTAACATTTAAAAGGAATAATAATTCAAGAACAAGATTTCCACAGACTGGTCTGGCACCTCACTTAGCAAAACACCCTAAGGCTTAGGAGTTAATATCTGATGGACCCTTCCTTGGGCTTCATTTACCATAGCTAAAGCGATTGCCTGCCATGAGTTAGCATCCAGAGTGGCAAAATAAGTTTTTACTCCTTCAGTTGCAGTGGCAAAAGGCCTGCAGCACTGAGCAGGGCTCCATTTTCTTCCACACCCCTGCTCCACCACGTGTCATCCAGACAGCTCATGCAGCCCTGCTCAGGGCAAAAAGATTATTATTTTACTCACTGTAGGTCATACTCATTTCCTATCTGTTAATTTTCCTACACAATCCTGAGTGCAGTGCTAGAAACACATTTTCTTAATTAGCTTCCCCCCCACCCCTTTTTCTTCCGTCAAAATGCACAATTCTCACACAGTCCAAGCGCTTCTGGCAGAGAGGCACGAGGGCTGCAAGGAAAACCCCCAGTAACAGAGTGCAAGGCTTGATCTGCAGGGGGGAGAGCTGGCAGCCCTGCACTGCACCTCAGCACACCAGCTGTTGCTCCAGTGGTGGAGCCACACTGGGAGGAGTTCAAGGACCAGCAGCTGAGAAAAAAAAGTGAGACAGAACCAAACCCTCCAACGTTACATGAGGTCGAGGCTGTGTGTGTGCAAGGGTGTGCATTTGCTTTATTTTTCTTTTTTCCCCCACCACAACTAGACTTAGTATTTCTTCAGAGGATTCATGCTTGTACTTGTACCAAGAAATCATTCCCATTATCTCCTGCATCGCCTGGGCTGCAGCGCAGAGAGCAGCCTGCTCTTATCCATCCCTGCTGCCTGGGCTTTGGGACAGCTGGGCTGCAAGGCTGCAGAGATGGGGGAGTTTCCGGGCTCTGGGGTGCACAAGGACGGGAGAGATCATTCTGTGTGCTGCTAATCTCTCTCTGCAGGAGAGCTGGTTTTCGCCTCTGCAGCACCTGCCATGGGGCGCCTGGGGGTGGGACACAGGAGCAGGAAGAAAAATAACTTCAAGCAAGATTTACTCCCTTCCTTATTAGTTAATGCTTGCCAAAAAAAAGTTATGCAGAGGCAGGGGGTTGAATAGGTCTGAGTGGACTTCACATAACTGATGTCAACATTACACTTTGACATCTCTCTCCTTTCAGGAAGGGGGAATCTTTGACTGAAGCTGTGTCCAAAGCCCTAGACAGAAACGCAGGAGCTCTAGGATGTTCTTTTCCCAGTTCCCCCTCAGGCTTGACATTTCAGTACCATGGTGTTTTGCTGACAAACCTGAGCCATGCTAAACTGAAGATAAAATACCAGTGAGGGTTTCAAACCTCCCGTTCCCCACCCTCTTCCCCGAGCACAGCACGCATTGCTCCGAGCTGTGCACATGTACTGGCCTCTCCCAGCTTGGTCCTGGTGACAGGGTGATGCACGGCCCAGACCTGCACTCCCTGAATTCCCCACAGGCTCTCATCTAGCACAGAGACAGGCACTGGAGGTGTGTAACAGGGAACAAGGAAGAAAAAGAAGCTGTTTCACTGTGCAAGTAACACCGATCTTAATATGAATCTCTTCTGAGCTGAAAGAAAAACCCTGTTGTACGGTCACAGTAGGTCAGACCAGCTAGAGCAGGGGGAAGCAGAGCATATTTAGAGCACACTATTCTGGACAATAAGCTTGGAAACTGTTTCTGGAGGTTGGGCCAACCTCACAGGACTGGCTCAAAAACATTTAATGCATGCTCGTCTCAAAAAAAGCATCTGGATTGCAATCTGAATGCAAGCAGCTTCTTCAGCTCTCCATCCTCAGAGGCAGTGCAACCAGACCAGGCAATTCAAGAGGCTCAAGCTGGCCCTGGTAAAGTCTCAGCACTCAGCTTGCTCCTTAAGCCAAAAATAAAGAATACATTGGCAAAACCATTGCATAGTCACCTGGTAAGTTTCTAATGCTGTTTGTCTGAGCAGTGGCTGCCTCCAGTGCACACCACAGCCCTCTCCCTGGTTTTGTGCCACCACCAAGCCATCAGCTGGGCTGTGAGTGTCAGCTGCTGCTTGCATTACAAAATCTGGAAGGGATGGACCCTGAAACCAGAGAGGCAGCAAACAAGGACTGCAGCAGAGAAGGACAGGCTGCTTACCAGAGGTACCTCCAGCACTTAGGAGATGACAGATTTTCTGGGCACTCAGAAAACCTACATAAGCACATGCATTTGCACAATGTGCAATGAACCACTGATTCTGTTCTTTTGACAAGGGCATGTCGTGATGGGACAAGAGGTAGTGCCTTTAAACTGAAAGTAGATTTAGATTAGATACTAGGAAGGAATTCTTTACTGTGAGCGTGGTGAGACACTGGAACAGGTTGTTCAGACAAGTTGTAGATGCTCCACTCCCGTAAGTGTCCAAGGCCAGGTTGGACAGGGCTTTGAGTAACCTGGTCTAGTGGAAGGCATCCCTGCCCATGGCAGAGGGGCTTGGAACTGGGTGATCTTTAAGGTCCCTTCCAACCCAAGCCACTCTGTAACTATTACTGCACATGAGACTATAAGAGCACCATCTCCTCACGTCTGACATTCAGACCTGAGGACTGCAGAGACCTAAAACAGGGGGTGCACCTCTCCCTTGCCCCTGCTAACTCACAGCAGTTGCAAGGGAAGCAGCAGCACATGTCCTCACTCCAACCTACTGCTGGAATCACCAGCAATCCGCCAGGCTGTTACACCCTTACAAAAGGGCTTGGCAGAGCAGCTTCCCCAGCCAAGGCAAGGTTTGTATCAGGGGCTAAAGATCAAACTGTATCTATCTCTGAACACACCTTTGTTAGTTTTGGCTGCACCCTTTCAGGTATCACCTGCCTCCCCGGGCAAACACGTTCCAATCCCGGGCGCCACAGGCCTGCTGCACTCCTCCGAGGGCTGTGTCCCTGCCAGGAACCTGTGTACCTACTGCATCCACAGCAGCAGCCAGGGAGGGAGAGCCCCAGCACTCCCCACAAACGTGGCTGCAGCAAGGATGTTGCAGGGAGCAGAGGAAGGAGCTGGAAGCAGATTCATGGTCAGGCTGCTGCTCGGTTTTGCTGGAAACTGGAGTGGAAAACTGGCACCGGCATCCATCCACCCCAACAAACATTGCATTCATATGCAGAGCTACAGAGCAAACGATCTGTCAGTTGTTCATCTGGAGAACAGGTTTCACCAGCCTGGATTAAATGATTATGTTGCCACAGCATGTGCTTCTGGCTGCTCTTGGAGATAAAGGAAGTGAAGCACAAGGAGCCTTACAGGAGAGAGGCCTGACCCTGCAACCCAGCTCCTGACACCTAGATGCTTGAGGAAGGGTCAGCCCAGCACAGAGCATGGGAGATGGGTTGCAAGTGTGTTCAAAAGGATGAATTTTGGTGCTGATGCACTGAAATTACTAATGCAAGAAAACACCTCATTCAGTGGAGAACAGAAGGTGCACACTTTACCTCCAATTACTGCCTCCAGATGTGCACCAGACTGGCTGTACTTCTGAGCCTGCTGCTCCTCGTTCCCACAAAGCTGAAGGCAGAGGGAGTGCAGTCGGAGGTCTAACAGCACATGTGCAGCTCCACCACAGCCTGCGTCCTGCCTCCACAAAACCCCTGTTGAGTGACTCCCTCAGGATGTAATTGCAGTCGACTTCATTCCAGGCCATGAGCATATGTCTGGCTACGGACATTACTGCAAGCACACAAGGAAAAAAAAAAAGAAACATAAAGCAGAAAGTGCAAAAAACCACTGGTAATCCAAGCCCAGTTTGGATAATGGGTGTTTTCCTCTGTAGAAAAAGGTTACTTTGCTACCTTTGGCAGTCTGGCCAGCTTCCCTGCATTAGTCTCTTGCAAGGCACAAGAGAAAGGCTGGCATCAGCTTTGCAGACTCAAAACAAAAATATTGCATCAAACCCATGGGCCCCATAAACAAGCCCTGAATCCATCTGGAGCCTACAAGGGTAAAAAGCAGAAGCCCAGAGAACTAAAATGACAATTTTAGGACTCACAGACTTCAGAGAGCATTGAATCCTTGTACCAGGGAGCCCAAGCCATCTTTTTCCACTCTGTGGCCTTTGATAGGCTCACTCCCACCAAAGTTCACCCCAATGCCCCATCTCTCAGGGGATGATGTGTCTGTGGTGGGTGCAGTGGGAGGTGCAGGGTGCGGACACAGCACAGTGTGGGCAGCAGGAGCTGGAGCCACCACCCTCTGCCCCCAGCATGTTTCACAAGATGAGCAGTAGCAGCACCACTGTTGCTTTGATATTTGCCTTTTTTTTTACCCTCAGAGAGTGGAAACCCGTGCTCTGAGCACTGGGAGCAGTTACAAACACTGCTCTGTTTGTAGGGAGAAGTCCCTACAAACAGCCTGCAGCAAGCACCCAGCACCCAACGCTCCCAGCTCAGGCACCTGCAGGCTGGCAAACCCCTGAGCCATCCAAAGTAAGGTCTTATGAATGGGAAGTGCCAGCCAGGCCTAAGCAACACTGAGCTGCCCTCCCCACCTCGAGTGGCCATGAAAACACACAGGATTTGTCCAGCTGGGATGGCTCCCGGTCAGGCATTTATGTTTATGGCTCATGGACAGGTTTTTAAAAATACATCCCAGTGCATGCACGGATGTGCTCCAAGATACACTTATATCCACAAGCACATGACCTAGGAGGTGGGTTAGAGCTGAAGTGACTTAGCCTCCCGGTTACAGGAACAAAATTAGCAACCACTCATAGACGTCTTATGTCTTAGATGGGGCTAGATGGCACTGTGAGTTAGTTAATGTCCCTTTGCCTCAGGAGATTTCACTTTGGCATTAAGATCAGTGGAAAACCAGGAAAGCTGGTGCTCACTAGGGTATATTTTCCAGAGCTGGGCTAGTAATTCACACCAACAGCCTGATTCAACACATTTTCAAGGTACCAAGTTAGGAGCTGTGTCCAATAATTTAGTCATTCTCTGGAATTTACTTCTTTCTTTTTTTTTTTTTTTTCAGAAATAATTCTTGGCTTGACAGCATTTAAACATATGTTTTCTCCAAATACTTGGCTTACATCTTCCCTTCTTTAATTTATCCCATTTCTCCTCATTAACCCCTGCCCCCCCACCCCCGTCGTTCCCATGCTGGATCGCTCTACCTCTCCAGGGAGAACAGTGATGAAATGACATTCGCCTCCCAGGCCTCCTGGCACATCACCGTTTCTCCTCGGGATCAGCCCAGCGGGGCAAAGAGCCCTTTGGCCCGGAGCCCCTGAATCACTTAAGGATGCACAGCTGAAACGGAGCAGAGCAAAGAGGGGCAGGGAGGCGAGGACCGGCCTTGGAGGGACAGTGCCTGGCTGTATTCAGGTCACAGCATTCCAGTCCCACGGCCTCCTCGGGTGTCTGCCTGAGCTGGTTGGGAGACGAACGAGTAAGGATCTGCCCTAATCTCACACCCAGACCTTCCAGAGGCTCTGCGCTCCGGGAGCTGTGGCTGATGGCACCGTGCCACTGCCATCCACGCGGCTGGGCAGGAGGGGGGACGTGCAGGCCTGGGGCAGCACATCTGCCCCTGGGGCTGGGAAGAGGGTGGCCACCTCTTTAACAGAGGCCCTATCCGTGCATCTAGCACTCCGATGGGTATCTCTCTCCCATCAGTTAATAGAGGGAGCAGCCCTTTAGGGGAAAGAAAAAAAATAGCACACCAAACCCCCAAAATCCCCAAAACACACTCCCAGCACAGGATCCCATCAGCTCCCTGACCGCCTAGGTCATTCATGCCTGTGAATCGTTTCCTCAAGTAACAGATTAGTCACGTACATTTGCAAGGGCAGCGATTCTGCCAAATAGCTGAGGAGCAGGGCAGGAGAACAGCAGCCTGACAAAAACAGGCAGAGGAGGGGAGAGCAGAAACAAAACCTTTCTTCCTTTTCTCCCATGCCCCTTTGGTTTTCAACAGCGTTTGCATGCACAAGCTGCTGAACAGCTGCATCACGTGGCGGTGAAATCCGGGCGTTATCTGGCCGGAGACTTGGACAACCCTGTGTTTCCTTTTTCACCCCCGGGCTGGCAGAAGCATTGCCCAGCAGCCAGAGCACTGACAGCTTCTGTAACGTTGGGACCAAAAGCCTCCCATAGTAGAACAACGTTTGGCAGCTGGGAAAAGCTCTCAGTTGAGCTCCCATCTTGGGAGTGACTGACAAATGCCAGACCCCGGCAAGGCTGACATAGGCTGGGGCTGCAAAGTGTCCTGCTCAGAGGCGAGTCACTCCGAGAGGAAAACAAACAGGAAAAGGTCCCCAAAAGCTCTTGATTAGTGTTACTCAGGCTTACTGCAAGCAGTTCCTTTCTTCTTCCAATAGCAGGCATGAAAAATCACCGCTGTCACTGGAGCAGCGGCGCGTGGAGCTGTGAGCAGGTCAGACTGCTCCTCTGTGCTGTGCATGCTCTGTCAAACTGCCCCTGTCCCAAGAGCCTGTCAGCCACAAATGGCCTGGTAGGAAACAAAGAGGGAGATTCAAAGCAAGAACACCTGAGTGATCCAGTAACGGGGTGGGGGGGGGAATGCAGGCTGTTTCGGGTCATATGAATTGTGTGTACATTCCCAGACACTCAGTCTGTCCCTTGTAGTTCCGGGAAATGCTAAATGGGCAGCATGGCCTGGAGAAACTGTAAGGAGGGGAAAAGCAGACAAGTGCCTGGAGGAAAGCTGATGAGCTGGTTTTCAAGACAAGCGTTACTACTGCAATAAGAGATAGGGACACACGTAGGCGTTCCCTGTCCTGGTAATAAATAACAGCTACAAAACTCTTATTAACCTCTGTAAAACATGTTGGTTCTGCCAGCCCATCCATCATGAACCTATCTGTTACTGTGGTACTCCCTTCAGCTATCCCAGAGAAAGACAGAAAACACAGCAGGCTGGCCACAGCATCCCACATTCCAAAGGGAGTCACAATTGCAAAGGATGCATCCTTGTTGTCATAAAAATGATGCTCCCCTCTTGTATCCTCTGTCTTAGGGGGCAGCACTGAAAAAGGAGACTAAAATACAAGCATCACTTTTGAGACAGGAACTTCACCATGACACAAAATAAAGGAACAAATGAAAACTACTACCTCAGGAATCTTCTACCTTTCCTTCCTAGGAACAAGCAGCCCTGGGGCCTGGCTGAGCATTTGGCCCAGTGAATTCACTTGCAGTCCAAAGAAAGCCTGGCCCCATTCATCAGCAGGGATGGGAAGTGCCAAGTCTCCTCTTCTCTCACCATCCCACTTCCTGGAGGGGAATTCAAGGAACAAGTGGCCTGCTAGGGCTGAGAGGAGTTCTGTCCCATGTGCTGCCAGGCTTCCCACACTGTCCCATCTCAGAAGTAGCATGGGGAGGAGGGGGAAATGCATAAATCAGAGCTCTAATACTTGGCACTACACCAGGACATAGATTAGACTACTCAATCATTTTAATTGCTATCCAACAATAATTATCTATTTAGGTGATTTACTCTAAAACATGCATAGCACTTTGGTATGTTTATAATGCTAATTGGGAAGGTCCTGAACCAAATAGCCACCCTGGGTAGCAAAGATGTGTATTTGGGGAGATTTATTTGTTTAGCTGTTTTGAGAACTTCACTAGAATACTGTTTTTCTTAGCTTTTTTTTGCTTCAACATATATATTTTTGTCTATTTACTTGTCAATCTCATGTATTTGGCAGACATAAAAAAATGCAGAGCAGTAACCAAAATTACACACACTTCCCATGCAACACAGGGTTATTCTTCCATGACTTGTTTCTCCCCTGCATATTTAATTTTGTACTCCTGTGAGGACTTGGGTGCTCAGGAAGAATGCCACTTTTAGAATTACCAGACCTAAGTAGCTGCAGCTACATAAATGAGGAGTATGTCAAGACGTGAGGAGAGCCAGTGGTTTTACTAGGTCATCAGTTAACCCACATGGCCAGGAGTGCAGGTGTGAAAGTGATAATCCACCTCCAAGACAGATCCCAGCATGCCTCCATAGGAGTTTTGTGCTTCACAGAGGCATCTTGCCCTGTGAAAGATGGTACATCAGAAGAAGTTCCTCCTGCTTTACCTGCACTGTTAGCACCTGTGTTATTGCAGGTAGGCACTGGGTAGGATATGTTGGGTATGCAGAAGCTGTTACCTACCATATACTGAGCAAAACCACGGGGGAAAAGATGGTGTAGCCTCTGCTCTGGCTGTGTTTATCCTACATGTCAATAAACAATAAAAGCAGGGCACTGAAAAATAAACCTCACTGCTTCAAAAAGCCCCCAGGAGAGTTTCTTCATTGGTATCATATTTTTTGTTTCTTTCTGATTTGGTTTTTTTTTTTTTTTTGTTGAGAGTTTCTTCATTGGTATCATATTTTTTGTTTCTTTCTGATTTTTTTTTTTGACTGTTGGAGTTGACATCTCTTTTTCTTTTGCTGAACCAGCATTTCCTGACAGCAAACCACGGTCAGAAATTTTCCATCAAGCCCTGAAGTGTGTTTCAACATTTGGTGCTTGTGCATGCTTATGAAAAGAGGTTAATGTCAATCTCAGAAAATTATCTACATGATGTTCAAAAGGGTACCAACAGTGAGGAGTAGCACTTGCATCTGGAGAAGTCCAGACACTCTCTCGCTTCTTTGCCTCAGAGTTGGGGTCAGCTCTTATCTGCTCTCTTACATTTGTAATGGTGATCCTCCTTTGCATGTTTACTGCCCAACTGACCTGTCACTCGGAAAAAATCCTTCCATGGGGAACACTCTTTCGTGACACAGCACATCCCCTTCCAAACACCCTGGGGACATTCTGATGGTTTTAAAACCAAACATCTTGGAAAACAGCAGTGCTCTCCCAATAAACAGCAGTGCAGTCAGGCCTCAGAAGGCAAACAAGCAAGGCAGGAGCTTGTGGGAGGAGATGGTAATAAATACAATAGTTAGCTTCTTAATCACTATCCCCAGTGCCTGATAACCATTACCTTGTTTCAGCTGCCCTCTGCATAACAGTGACAGGACAGCCTTCCACATTTGGAGGACTTTACCCAGCAAAATCTTCTCAGGGATGAACAAGCACTGATGTGTAAACACACCCAAGAATTTTTAAAGGTTGGAAAAGGAAAATCTCTTGTGCTGTGAGAGCCATCACACATGAGGCAGCCTGGGTACAGCAGCCTCCAGTCTGCAGCAGTTGCACTCAGCAGCCCCATCAGTCAGGAGGCTTTTTTGAGAGCAGGGGTGGACACAGCGAAAACCAGTCAGTCCTTACTCAGAACTCCTGCCTGCAGGGCACTCAAGCCAAAGCTGTCTTAATGTGCTTTTAAAAAAAGGCAAATGACAAGCAAGGCATCATTTCCTTCAAAGCCCAGCACTTCTCCACTGAGACATCCAGAGCTGCTATCATCAGCTGAAGGGGCAATAACTTCACCAGGAGGCAAGCTGGTTTATGAGGGGGAGGAGGAAGAGTTAAACCAAACTCATCAACCCGCCCAGTGCCATCAGGCAGCAGCTTTGAGCTCTGAGACACGACATCCCAGCAGCACGCCCAAGAGAGGATGTGTCCTAAAGGACACAGCTGATTCATCATCCCGCTCAGGAATCTCGGGCAGTTTCAGCTGCAGAGGCCTGACCTGCTTGGCAGCCAGCCGGCCGGCATCAGCTGCCTCCTGGAAAAGGGAAAGAAAAAATAAAAAGCTTTGAAACGACAGAGTGGGCAGAGGAATGGGGAGGAAGGGAAAGGAGGGAGTGTGGGGGGAGAAGTGGCCTTGCAGGCTCTGGTTGAGTAAGAGGCTAATTCCCCCCCCACTCCCTGACCGCGACTCCATCTAATTACCCTGTTTCCTCTGAGCTGATTGGAAAGTGGCCTTGTGTCTGGAAAAGGCAGTAAGCATCTTACATGCATCTGTTCCACCTAATCCCTAATAACTAGTGCCTGTGTGTTCCGGGAGAGGAGGAGGAGGAGGTGGGGGAGGACAGGCAGGGAAGGGCTGGGAAGGGTTTCCCATGTAGGCTGCCATGTGGCAGAGGGCAGGGCGGCCTTGTGGCCTGGGCTGGGGGCTTGCAGGGAACTAACATTGTTCCTCTTCCGCCTGTTTCACAATCTGGAGGCCCTTTCCTCCTTCCCCTTGCAATAATAACAAATTTTATTAAAAAAAAAAAAAAGAGAGAGGCCTGTGGCTGGGAATAAGGACACATTTTGCTGAGCCTCGCTGCAGTT